CCCCAAAACCCCAAAACCCCAAAACCCCAAAACCCCAGAAAAATATTAAAAATTGAATAACTAACAAAATATGATGAATCGAGGCACTAGGAATAGAAGGGCCAGACCTGGGTCAAGAACCCCACTAGGGTCTTATAAGAGTAAGCAGGGAGCCAGAAAGGGCTTTAAGAGAGGAGAAGAGACTTAGAGGACTCAAGAAGTTCTGCTAAGGAATGAGATTTAGCATTTTTATTTTATAATGCATATTTGAATCCACCGAGATTTCTAATTCAAAATTTTTATGCAATTTTGAGGTGGAAAATACTGGTTACTTTGGATAAGTGTTTGGTGATCAGACCCTGAAGCGAGTTTCACAGTAGGCTCATGCTTGGTAATAATAAATTCAAGCATTAATGTCTTTTAATAATGCTTGTGCATCTTTTATTCATTCGCCAAAGTCTTATCTTGAAATTTCCACAACTCTAAACTTGGTTCAATTCTGCACCAGCTCCAACCAAAAGATCTCATCATCGAAAGGTTATTTTTTATAAAATGTCTCAAAATTCTACGGAATGTAACTAAAAGGTTTCTTAGGCTAATTTTTCAGGTTCCCGCTTAACTTGCTACTGAACCACTAATTTGCCATTTCTTCATAATTTTTCTAAAATTTCTCTGTAGATCTTCCAAAGTCAAACACAGCTAGGCTTGTTCATAAGCCTCAAGCTAGTCCTCCCCAGCTGAGCAAGGCAGTTGGACAGAAGCTGCCAGAAATGAAGCAAATTGAGCCTTTGACTTCAGAAGAAATCCTTCTGGTAAATTTATACAGGAAGACCACTCTTACTACAAGTTCTTGCGCTGAGAATGGAGATGGGCAGAAGTCGGACAAGCCCCATAATTCTGTCCTTGATCATATCAGAGATATCAAGTCAGAGATCAATACCATGAGCTTGAAGGAATTAGAGCTCTTACAAATGTCTACATCTGGAAAGGAGAATTCCAGAACTGAAGACCCTCTAAGTCCTCATAAACCTCCGCTAGCCCTAGAGGATAGCAAGGTAGAGCATGTCAGCATCCCTCAAGAAGGGCAGTCCAAGGCTAAAGCTACTGAAGGAAGCCTCCAGAGGGCTGAGAGCTGCCCACTAGCTTTGAGAGATACCAACCACCTCACAATCTACAAATAACGCTCTTGAAGACGCTTCTGCCCAGAACACCCTTCTCCAGCACCAAATTCTCGCTTCAAGAAGAAAGACTGCCCAGCTCACCCTCCAAAACGCTGAAATGAAAGACGCAATTATTAACCTGACCGACACCCTCGACCAGCTGACCGGCGGTCAGCTGGTCGAGAGGCTCAGTTGTGACTAATTTTGTTCATGATTTCAATATTTTTTGAAATTTTAGGGGTTTTGGGGTTTTGGGGTTTTGGGGTTTTGGGG